GGAGAGGCAGGAAGTATGTTATTCAGCTTAGAAATATTGTGGTTTTGATGAAGGAGAAGAGTTGTGACTGTTTTATAAATGGTTACAAGGGTAAATATGTTTCCTGAATTTCTGCAGATGCTGACATTTTAAAACCCTTTTCCTAGTCTCCTCATTAGAATCATAAAGAAGGGACAGCAGAAAGGTAGCTCTTTATTAACGCTTAGAAAGGGCCCTGCAGCCCTCACAGCTCCCTCGCTGGCCCACATCTCATTAGGGAGACTAGAAGAGTTTAATAAACAGAAGCGATGCCTATGAGCTATGGGCTCGGGCATTTAGGTCGTTAGTATTCAAGGTATCCTGTAGTAGCCTGTGCACTGTGAGCTATAAGTAGTCATTAACATTTCATGGAAACCTAGGAAGGGTTCCATTTAAAATTGAAGAAGATTTCTGTCTTATGGCTTGAATTTAAAAAAAAAAAATTTAAAACCCACCTCAATACCAGAAACAAAGGAAATACTCCGACCTACAGTGCAAAGAAAAAAGAAACTTCCATAATATTCACAAAAATGTATTCTTAGGTCATCTGTGAGGCAAAATTCCTTTTTTTGCATCTTCAAATTTTGCCTTTCCATAGATCAAGGACGAGAGTATTTACAGCCAGATTCTCCCAGGACCCTCCTCCTCATTGAAAGTTAAGCCCATTTGAAAAGATATTAACCCCTCAGAATTTTGCAACTCACTGCAGCAGACCGGGTCCCCATTCATTCTTGGGGATGTAGAAAGCAAACTGACAAATGGGGACACGATGTGTGCCGCAGTTGAACTATGCTCCATACAGCTTCCAATGGCTAATTTTTTGAAAGTAGATCACCAGATTTCATCCAAGCTACCTCTAGGTACATGAGAACCTCATCTTTCAGTTAATAACCCAGTGCATTAACAGTTTACATCACCACTATCTGGGTTGTCACTGGGGAAAAGGAGTGGAGTGTGTTCTCTTTTGGAGCCTGAGGTATATGGAGCTACTCTGTGAACGTGTGGGAAAAATAAGGCTTTGATTGTCACCAGGAGAAGAGTTCATTATCATTGTGGTGCTGTCATTTTGACCAGCCCACCTGACAGCCCTGGTCCACAAGGACCCTGTGCAACCTCCACTCCAGATCCTCCCCTGCTTCATCTTTGGGTTGAAATACCTGTGTAAACCATATGGCAACCTTTGAGATGAGTCTGGAGAACCTTTCAGCAAGCTGCCATGAAGATTACTTAGCAAAGCAATTTGTGTTTTCATCTTGACGTTATGGAAAACATCTTATGCTTAAATGAAGGAATTAGTTATGTCTTGGGAAAAGTACAGTCAGAATGCATCTCAGAGGCAAAGATGACAAAGCTTCATCTCACATCCTTTAGGCATGTTGCAAGGAGAAGCTAAGCTATTCCTTGTAAAGGGACATCATGCTTGGAAAGGTGGAGGGTCAGTGGAAGAGAGGAAGATCCCTCCGAGGATCAATCAGTGAGATGGGTTTCGTTTGTCAGAAATGATGAGGATGGCACAGAATGGGACAGGGCTCAGGTCTATTTACTGTCCAAAGGGTCTCTATGGGTTGAACTTGACTTGATAGCAACTAATAACAACAACCCCTGTTAGAGCATATTATTGGTAGTGTTAGGTGCCATTGAGTAAAGTCCCATCTTATAGCAATGTTGTATATAGCACACTGAAACCTTCCCTGATCCTGTATCATACCACAATAATACATACTTTGTGAAGAGCAGGTGTGTAAATAAACTACAGACAATAGAACGTCAGAAATGTAGCATTGAGTTCTTCATAAAGTATCCTTGTCTACTAATTGGATATAAACACTCAGGTGCTAATGAAAAGACTGGGCAGGCAAAGCCACCAGCTGCTCCACTGGAGAATGTTGTTGCTACTTTGCTTAATAAAGACAGCTTTGGAAACCCTTTGGGGCTTTCTACTCTATAGTGCTGCTATGAGTTAGAATCTACTTTACTAGAAAGATCTGACAATATGCTTCTGAAAGGCCACAATCTTGAAATCTCTGCTCTGTGCTCATGAGGTTGCCAACAGTTGGAATGCACTCACAAGCAACTGATTTGTTTGCTTTGAGGTTTTATTGTTGTTGGTATTTGATCATATTTTTTAGCTTCCCTCAGCCACCGTTTTCTCATCTCTAAGATGGGAATAATATTTTTTGCCTGCATCTCTGATTGTGTGGGTCAAATAATTCTGAAGAGTCTATAGTGCTTTTCAGTCATAAGGTCTGCTGCATGCTGATGAGGCTGGGAACCTTTGCTGTGTAAAATGTGCAGTGATGTTATAGACAATTTAGGTATCACTGTAACAGCATGTTTCTGATTAAACACAAGAGTGTCTTTAACTATGTGATGTCTCCTGCTCTTCTTACACATCTAGGGAATAATTGCCATGTCTGTTACTGTGAACATAATCAGTAATTTGGGGGTCACTAAGAATGAGAATTGACCCCTGGGCTTAGGGCTGATGGGAAATGGAGCTGCAGAGATAAAAGTTGAGGTTTGTTTTGTTTATAATATGCTTCATGCCAACAGTGACTCTGCCACACAGATGACCTATGAAGTAATAAAGAAAAATTTCTGATTCTATCTCTGAATCTGTAAGGGTCTAAGCATACTGTTAGCCTGTGACTAAAAGCAAGTAAAAAAAAATAGCATTTTAGATTATTATTCAGATATTTTAGCTGGGAGGTTATAATTTGTCATTAGCATGAATGTTTTATAATTCTTTTTATTGTGTTAATTTTCTTCAAAAATATAAAGAGAATGTTGATTGACATGCTGACGTTTTTAGGGGTAATGTATTGATAGCTGTAGCTTAGAATTAAAACAGCAACAAGAACCAGTGAATTAATGAATATAATACAAATATAGGCAATGTATCAAGTGCAATAACAATTATACAACCTTGCTGATGATTATTAAATAGTTGTGCAGTCTTTTCAACTTTTGCTTGAAAATTTTTACAATAAAACTATAATTTCAGAAAATCCATTAATATAGCAAAGCATAGAACACTTTGGTTCATGTTTTTATTCTGTAATTCTTTTAAGTATTGCATGTCCATAAGAAAACTCAAATTACCTGTTAAAAGCAAGTGCAAATTTATTATGTTGTCTTTTCTCAAAATACTAAGTGAAAGAAACATTTTAAATTAGAAACTCAATGGATTCCAGAATTTACACTAATGTCACATGAATTGCCATCAAATGAAATTTATAATTAAAAGCTACTTAGTATCGTGTTTTTGACTACGCATCATTTCATTTTCATTTTTTGCTTTTGTTAATCTCCATGAACAATCTTTTAGGAATTTCAGATTCTGAAATACAAAAAGAAGTAATAAGTAGGTGATGGAATTTAATTAAGAAGAATGCACTTTTTAAATGAAAGAAGTTAATAGGTAAAAAAGATTGTTGAAAACATTGACTTCGAAGTGAAAATAATATCACAATATTGGCTTTTCAGACCCTAATGAGTTCTTCCAATTTAAAAAGAGTAGATTATAATTTAAAATGACCATAAAAATTGGAACGCCATCATCTTTAAAAGGATAGACTAGGAACACGTACAAAAGTGTTTATCTTACAAGACTCCAAACTGGTAAATGTGTAGAATGAGGAAGCTCTAGTTATGAAGTTGATTTGTTATCGCTGAGTGTCACCGGTGCCTCACTCTATTAGTTGATTGCTGTTGTTGTGTACCATCGAATTGGAACCAATTGACAGCTGACCCTCTGGTGGGTTTTCAGAGGCAGTTAATGGCATGGGAGGAGATGGCCCATTTTCCTCCGCAGAGCAAGTGGTGGATTATTTATGGTAATAAAGGAGCTAGAGTGGCATAGTGCATTACTAATTGAGCTGTGCAGTGAAAAGCTGGCAGTTCAAATACACCAACATCTCCATGGGAGAAAGGTGAGACAATCTACTCCCTTTAAGATGTATCACCTTAAAAAAAAAAAGATGCATCACCTTGAAGCCTGATGGAGGGTCACCATATGTCAGAACTGACTAGATGGCAATGAGGTGACTATGCTAATTGCAGTCTTTTAAAATAATAAGTAAAAAATTTTAAAATAGCCAATATGACAAAAAATAAAAAAAACTGGTTTTCTGAGGCAAATTTTAAGAAAAGAGAAAATTTTCTCAACTCTTCAAGAGGAAAAGGCTAAAGTGTTACTTGATTACCATTCTCAAGTACATGAAATATTTTTATGAAGAGATTCTGAAAATCTAATAGGGAAATGAAACAGTTCAGTTGTACAAATGAGAGAATCTCTTGACTTCAAGGTTGAGTAAACCCTGGAATAATTTTTAAGACAGACTCAGAAAGCTATGACACTAAAAAATTATGTAAACAAAATAGAATTCCTAAGTGGCTCTATCTACATTTGACAGAGGTTGAGGGCTAACTCACAACGTTTCTGGAAGGACCTCCTTGGGTCTGCATTCTAAGAGTAGCTTTTCACTCCACGCTAACAGTTTTGACATATAGCTTGGGACTAAATTCCATTTTTCTGCATTATCTGTAAGGAAGAAAATAAAATTAAGAACCTCTGGTAGCCTAGGTGGTAGGGAGTTCCACTGCCAACCCAAAAGCAGATGGTTTTAATTCATCAGCTGTTCTGGGGGGGGGTGGGATGGACAATCTCCTCCTGTGTGAGTCCAGCCTCTTGAAACCCACTGGAAGGTCAGCTTTGAAGAGACAGCAATGGATTTAAGTTTTGTTTTGCATTTTATCTGTAAGAAATGGCCATTCCTGTTGCCATCTAATTCTTCTATATCATCATTCTACCATCAAGGGCTAGTAAGAATGGAATGAAATAAACATATTGCCTTTGTGAATGATTTATATCCTTCTGAATGTCAACAGGGCAAAACTCTCTTGTGCTTAACCCCCTGTTTTCTCTTTTTATAGTTTCTTAATCTTATTCCTTGGCTCACATTTATTCTTATTCTGTGCAGAGCTGAGCTTGCTTCCTGTTGTGATGCTGTTGAAAACTTTATTGTTTCTCAAAATAACACACCAGTTGGAACCAACATGAGTTATGAGGTGGAAAGTAAAACAAGAATCCAGATTGGAGAGAACATCTTTAATATGCTTCCATTGGTGAGTAAAGTCTTGGCATGGGTGAACTTCTTAATAGTTAAGTTACAGATTAATACACAAAAATTAATTCATTAGAGCACCACACTTAGTTGTGCTCTATACAATATATATTGTGAAAGTTATTTAGAATGCAGCATATATATTGTGAAAGTTATTTAGAATGCAGCAGTGCTCTGCAGGGAATGGTGTTTATAGCCTAAATAATATTCTCTCTCAGCCCCAGTGTTCTCCTGAATGAGATGAGGCATTTGGGCTTTCTGCATAGTAATTTCTAGACTTGTGAAGGTGACAATTTTTCACCTGAAGTAGGATTCTTTTATATGTATGCCTTGACTAACAAATTATTTCCTTCTCAAAGAATGATTATGTTTCTTCTCTTTGGAAGTATGTAAGAATTTTTAGTGAATAAATGTAATATCCTTAAGACAGGAATTTTTGGTGTGTTTACAGATATGTCCTCAAGCTTCTAGAACATTCTTGGGTATATTTTCACATAAAAACTCAATTCTTATTGTTGAATAAATGAATGAGTAAATAATATATAATATAATTTGACATTGTGAAGAGAAATTTATCCCTTAATACAAACCCAAATGTGGGGAAATTTCTTTTCATAAAGACTACTTAATTAGTCTTCATATACTCTCCTGCATCTTTTTGTGACATCTTAAAAAAAAATACAACAATCTGACCGAGTCAGTATGATCTAAACCAAATTTGTTGACAAGGGATCAGATAAACGATGAATTGTTTAAAAAGAAACTATTTAATTCTAGCTATTGATTTTTTTTTCTCAAGTCTAAGTAATTAGAAGATTCCAGGATTTACTTTGTAGACTTAATAGGTCTAAATTTCAGAGTTTTTCAGGTGAATTAAAAATTATTTTCCCTTCCTTTAAAATGAGTTTAGACAATTAATCTTTTCTATATTCTAGTAATGTTGAAAGATTTAAACATTAATTATTTATTATTAGAAGATTAGTTGAAACAACAAAAATGAATATTTAATTCCATTTGTAAAAAAATATGAGAATTCGTGCAAATTAAAGCCTGCCCAATTGGCGTAACCAGATAGTTAATACTCTTAATTGACTAGTGCCAGTGAGTTAACATCTGCCAGAAACTTGCCAAGTTACTTAAAAAAGAAAACAACAATAAGTGGTTTCAAACCAGGGTGAGCATGAGTAGCAGGTAAGCCATGTGAATTTGCATTTTCTTAGGTTTATTTTAAGGAAGGTTCGAGTGTGAGATTTATTGAAACTCTTAGTGAGTGTGAGATCTCACGGCATATGGATATCATCCCCCAGTTGACCAAGAAACCAGAGAAAAGTGTTCATCGTTTTGAGTGCTTTATTTGCGATATGTTTCCCTCAGTAATCTTTTCTATTTCATGTGAAGAGCATATTTGCATTTTTGCATTCTACCCTGTCTATAAATTTCAGAATTTACTGTGCTATCATTTAGTAAATACTGTCTAAAGCAAAACAGCTGTTGCAAGAAGTTCAGTGGCATGCCTGAAGTATCTTGGAGCCATTCATTTAAGAAATAGACACTATTGCATTAGGCATTGCAGATGAAAAAAAAAAAAGTAAGCATCTAATTCAGTCAACATTTTATTATTCTTTGAATAGTGAGAAGATGTGTAATGTATAGTGATTAATGTTCTGGAGAGTTTCTACATTCCTGATCATTTGCCCCTGAAAGACTACAGTCTTGAAAAATCCACAGAGCAATTCTGTTCTGCATACAAGGGGTTGCCTTGAGTCAGGATTGACTTGATAACAACTCAAATTGCCATCCCAAACTCAGGCAATCCGAATTGACTAGCTGCTCCACAGGAGAAAGATGGGAAATCTCCTCCTAAGTGATTTACGGCTTCTGAAAACCTGCTGAAAGGTCACCTGTGAGTCAGTTCCAACTTGATGGCACTTAATAACAACTCCAGAGCCAACTGCTCTGTGACTTTCTATGTTATTTAAACTTATGTCTCCATATCTCATCTGTAAAATGCTCATTATGTCATTGTGATAATTAAATGTGCTTAAGTTAGCTTCTTTTTAAGTAGCGTCTTTGTACAGTAGCATTATAAACCAAGCCCCATTGTTTTCAGTAGATTCTGGCTTATAGTGGCCTATAGGATGGAGTAGAATGTCCCCACAGGATTTTCAAGGCTGTAATCAAAGGACATTGGTGACACAATGGATTAAGTATGGCCTACTTAATTGAAGGTATGTAATTCAAACACACCAGCCACTCTGAGGGAGAAAGTTATGTCAGTCAAATCTTTTTCATTAAATTCTAAAAACCCTGTGGGACAATTCTGCTTAATCTTATAGGGTCTTATAAGTCAGAATCAATGGATGGTGGTGGGTTTGGTTTGGATTTTTTTCTCTTGCAAGCTGGTATAAACCACTAGGTTCAAACCAGGTAAGCTATTGGTCTAGCAAATACTTGTTGTAATGTCACTGCATACATTGTACTGTATTGAGTGTAGAATGAAAGAAAAGGAGAAGTTAAAAGTAAGAGCATTTTCTTTGTCCTTGAGGATTTCCATTCTAATTCAAGAAGCAGAATAGGTGAGTAGAGACACATCACATCATCAGTATGGGATATGAGTTGGCACCCTTATTACAAGACATGACTGTATTCAGGGAAAGTCACCAGCAAAGGACAAAGCATTGTTTAATTGAAACATAAATTTTAGGTTGAAGAGGATTTGGTGACAGTGGCAGACATTATGAGTTAAGCAACATAGGTCCTAGATGAAAGAAAGATTTACAAAAATCCAAAGTTGCCACCATCAATTCAACTGCAACTTATAGGGATCCTCTATTGGAGTTCCTAATCTATAGATCTTTGCAGGAGGAGACCGCCATCTTTCTCTCGCAGAGCTGCTGGTGAATTTGAACTGTCAGCCTTTTAATTAGTGACCTAATACCTTACATACACCACCAATGCATCCCCTTAAAGAAGATTTAAACCATACAGATTAATTGGAAAAACACCAGCACAGAGTCATTAGGCCTCCCTGAAGCTCTCTGGCAGGTCATTCAAGGGGATGGTAGCCATAAATCTAATGATGTCATTGAGCCTAAAGCTCTGATGACTTAAGATGCTCTATTTAAGGAAACTTGGTAAAATAACCATTAATTTGTTACCTAAGAAAGGGAAATATAATTACTAGCTAAGGAAGCAAAGGAGGATGGAGCCTCAAGTTTCAGCCAGCCATCCCCACTGGACTCACTTAGCCAAACACTTTGCAGTCCAGAGGGCAGAAAACATCAGGAAAAAATCTTCTAACTGAACAGAAGGCATGCAGCTTCAACTGAGGACGACCAGTAGAGTTTTAAAGTGGGCTCCCTTTCCCCTTCATCTCAATGCCCCTGTTCAGCATGAAGCAGCCAGAGAGTCTGCGCCCCTGGTCCCAAATGAAAAAAGACAATTTCTTTGTATTAAAAAAAAATTAATCACTATTGGACTATGCTCACCATTACCCTGTCTTTTCTGGTCCCCACTGGATCTTTCTCATCTCTTTCATCCACTTCCTACACTCGCCAAATTGTGTAGCCCCGTGATTTCATCTCTGCCCATCCTCACTCTTCTCTCCCCACCCTTACCCCTTGGGTCCCTATACATGTTTTTTACAATTAAAAAAAAAAAGAATGGAGGGTTTAATACTACATTCTAACTGCTTTACATATTTATTTTTTTCTAGGAACTTTTCCTTTTGGTTAGAAACATACAATCTGGGGTGTGTAGAGGGTTTTTTCCAGTTATTTACTTCATTATATGATGGAAAATATATTTCGTGCAAGTCTGTTATATTATTACTACATTACATTTTATATTATGCTGAGATTATATTCCTCTCAAGAGAAACGGAACTTAGTTTTGCATGGTGATTTTCCATTAGTCATACACAGTTTACCAGAAAGCACAGCCTGCCACTGCTCCTGCTCTCTCCTTCCTGTTCTTGACTTTAGCATGCATTAAAGTTAAGCTATGAGACTAAAACTGATGGTATGTATGGTTCTAAAAGCAAAAACCATTTAATACTCATTTTTCACTTTCTCCTGATAGTCCCAGCCTTTTGTGGGGTACCCTTACAATCAGTGTGCAGTGGTGGGAAATGGAGGAATTCTGAATAAGTCTCTCTGTGGAGCAGAAATAGATAAATCCGACTTCGTTTTTAGGTAAGTTATGAGTCGCAGGTGACTTGACGGCACATAGCAACAACAACAATGTCAAATCAGTTTATTTGAGACAAATGATCAATTGGCTGTTTTAAAGGAATATGGTGTCATTTGTAGGGAGTTGTGCTGCTAATCAAAAGTCCACACCTCTCTGACTCTTCCAGTGATTCCTTGGAAAATAGATGGACAATTTCCTCCCATGTGATTTGGCTTTGCTGACTTGGCTTGATGGCAATCAGTTAGTGAAGTCTGGGTGGTACTAATCATTTGCAGTCTTTTTCTAATCTAAAGGTTGGAGGTTCAAACCTGCCCAGCAGCTTCACAGAGGAAAGGCCTGGGAACTGCTTCTGGAAAGATTAACTAAACCCCAAACTAGCTACCTCTGAGCTGATTTTTACTCAGCCTGCTCAGTCTCTTCTTTTGTGATGAGTCTGTTCAAGTGTTTGATATCTCTCCATGCCATTGTGTAGGGTGTGAGTTTCAAGGTATTTGTCCATTACTTCTAGGTTTTCAACTTTATTAGAGTATATCTTTTCGTAATGTTCTGATAGTATTGCTTTAATTTCATCTGGTTCTGTTTTTATGGCACCTCTATCATTTCTTATGCGAGTTATTCATGTCTTCTCTTATTTTTTGTGAAGTTTGTCAATGATTTGCCAATTTTATTGACCCTTTCAAAGGACCAGATCCTGATCTTAAAGATAGTTTCAGTTGTTTTTCTGTGAAATCTATCTCATAGATTTCAGCTTGTTGTTATCATTTCCTTTCTTCTACAGGCTGTGGGGCTACATTGTTGTCTTTTTTTTCTCTTTTTGATGGGTTTGTTGAACTAAGCCATTAATTTTGCTTCTTTCTTCCTTTTTAATGCATTTTTTTATTGCTGTGAATTTAGTTGCATCACAGTTTTGATATGTTGTGTTTTCATTATCATTTGTTTTGAGGAACTTTTTCTTTCTTTTGTTACCCAGTCCTGTTCTAGCAGGGTATTATTTAGCTTCCACGTGGAGGCTTATAAATTTACCCTCTTGACATTAATTTTTCTCTTTATGGCATTGTGGTCTGAGAAGATACTTATATTATTTCCATGGTTTTTATTTTTAATTTATAGACTCTTACTTTGTGTCCTAATATGTGATCAGTTCTGGAGAATATACCATGTGCACTTGAGAAGAAAGTGAACTGACCTTTAGTTGGGACGCCTGCACTCCACAAAATTGAGATGGCTCAGTGTATAGTTTAGATCTCCTGCATCTTTGTTAAGTTTCTTTTGACTTGACCTATCCTTTCATGAGAGTAGTATGTTGAAGTCTCCTATCATTATTGCAGTGCAGTCTATTTCTTTCTTCAAGTCTGTCAACTGCTCTTTTATATATTTTTCAGCTCTATCATTTTGTACATAGTTGTTGATAAAAGTTATGTCTTCTTGATATATTGTATCTTTTATCATTATATAGCACCCTTCCTTATCATTTATAGTGTTTTCATCCAGAAGTCCTTTTATCAGAGATTCATATTGCCACTCTTGCTTTTCTGTTGGGCTTATTTGCTTGGTATATCTTTTTCTCAGCCTTTGATTTTCACTCTCTTTTCTCTCATTTCTTAGATGTGTCTCCTGTGGGCTATATTTGATGGATTTTTTTAAAATCCATCCTGCTACTTTTTTTCTTTTAATTGATCCATTTAATCTATTCCTTACATGTTATAATTGACAGGCCTGATTTGATAGCTGCCATTTTGCTGTGTTTCTTCTGTTGTTTCTGATTACTATACTCCATCCACTTTCCTTTAGTGTCTGTGTGTAAAGTATTTCCCTTAACATTTCTTGTAAAGTTGGTCTTGTTTTCACAAATTCCTTTAGTACTTGTTTTTCTGAAGATGATGTAATTTCTTCTTCATATTTAATGGACAGCTTCGCTGGATAGAGGATTCTTGACAGGCAATTGTTATCTTTGAGCCTTCTGTATGTCATCCCATTGTCTTCTTAATCTCATGATTTCTGCTGAGAAATCAGATTTTTTTTCTGATTTGTTCTCCTTTGAAGGTGACTTAGTTTTTCTCACACTGCTTCTGGTATTCTATCCTTATCTTTGATTTTGGAGATTTTGACTATGATCTCTCTAGATGTTTGATTTTTTGGGGGGAGGGGTGTCTAGGCTGTTTAGGGTTTACTGAGCTTGAATATAGATTTCCCCATTCTTCATTATGCCTGAGAAGTTTCCTTCTAGTACCTGTTCCACAATTTTCTCAGTGTTTTCCTTACCTCCCATATATTCAGGAATTCTAATCAAACATATGTTGTTCCTTTTGGTGTTATTCTTCATGATTCTTATGTTTTTCTTAACTTTCTTCTTATCTCCTCTCTGTTTTTTCTTCTAGTGTGTTCCCATTGAGTGTCTTCCAGCTCACTGACTCTGTTACATTTCTTCCTTTCTTCTTGTTTATCTTTTCAGGATGTTTGAAACTTCTGACATTTCAGTCTTGATATTCTTTATTGCATTTTCATGTATTTCTGTTATTTCTAGTATTGTATCGGCTGTGCCTTCTCTGTCTTGTGAGGATTTTTAAAGTTTTGAAGCTTTTCATTTATGGCTTCAATTATTTCTTCCATGATTTGCAATTTCTTCCTTAGTTGTTCATATTCCTTCATGCTGATATGTTTCTTCTGGTTCCTTGTCTCTGGAGTATTTGCTTTATTTATGGCTTCTACTCTTTCTTCCATCAGTTACACCTTTTTGTTGTAGTTATTCATATGACTCCACATCAAATTTTTTTTATGATTTCCTTTCTGTGGAATATCCACTTTATTTATGGCTTCTATTCTTTCTTCCATCCTTTGTACCTTCTTCCATAGCTGTTCATATTACTTCGGTAATATTACTGAATACATCAGTATATTACTTGTGCATCTCTGTCTCTGAGGTATTTATTGGGTCTGCAATAGGCTCTGCTTTTTTTGAAGGCTTATTTTTGTTTTATCACAGTGTTTAATGTTGTTTGCCACCTTCTTGACAATATGTGACGTTTTTCTGTTGTGTCTGTATAGGTTGTTTATAGTTCTTTATCTTTATGATGTTATGAATGAGTTGCAGTCTTAAAGCGTTCCCTTTATAGAGGGAGGACAACTTGCTACCAGGAGCCCTTTCTAGTTCTGTGACATGACAAAGCTCACTTTTCCTAAAATCCTTCCACTTTTCTCTGGACCACAGTGCAGCCCTGTGGGAATCTTGCCTATGTGCTACCTGCCTCTTCTAAAGTTTGCATTTGTCCTTAGTGGAGCATAGTGTGGCCTGAGACCAACTTCTCCCTGGCTGCTGCTCTCTGGGAAGGGGTAAGTGGGGCAAGGACACCACGTAACTTTATGCAGCTGCCACCTAAGGTCTCTAGTAGACTGATGAGAATCTCCCCTCCCTCCACCGCCACTTCTAAATTTTGTAATTATCTTTGCGGGTGTTGCTGTGCAGGGCAGCAGGAGACCACCTTCCACCTAGCTGTTGCACTTTCCCTATCTGGGGTAGGTGTGATGGGGGCAGGGTCACCAATTTCTCCTATGTAACTGCCTTCTAAGATATCCAGTAGCCTGTTGGGAATCTCTCGTGCTCCACCACCTCTTCTAAAATATGTAATTGTCTTTGGGGGTGCTGATATCCAGGGCAACAGGAAACCACCTTCCATCTACCTGCTGAAATCTCTCTATCCAGGATGGGGGTTATGTGTGCAGGGCCAACAATTTCATCTGTGTAGCTGCCCTCTCAGGTGTCCAGTAGGCTGGTGGGAATCTCTCCTACCTCCACTGCCTCTTCTAAAGTTTGTCATTTTCTTTGAAGGTGCTTGTACACATGACAGCAAGAGACTACCTTCTGCCTGGCTGCTTCACTCTCTCTACTTGGGAGTCAAAAGCTGTAAATATTAATGGGAGTAGATTCTTTCATCTTTCTTCTGAAGAGGAGCTAGTGGATTTGAACCATTGACTCTTCAGCTAGATAGCCCCAAAGCATAATAGCCCCAGTGCATAAAACCAACACACTGCACCACCAGAGATCCTTTCATCCCAGTTGCAGCCACAAAAGCCCCATGAAGCAGTCCTACTTGGTAACATATTGAGTCATAAGAGTTGGAAGTGACTTGATAACAAGTTTGCTTTGTTTTTCTAAGAATGATTCTCTGTGTAAACTTGGACCTTTAAGCTGTGTTACTCTGTTCTAGTCCAAATAAGCCTCTGTTCAAGTGTTACATGGATCCTGAGTTCCTCAAAAATACTTATCCAAATAATCAGACATGTGGTCAAACACTTAGGAAATCCAAGATGAAATCGTGATAATTAAAGGATCCTGCACAGGAGGGCTTGTCTGAACCTTCAGTATGCCAGTGAACCACATCTCCCTGAGAAAAACTCTTCTGAGCATTTTTCAGGCTCAGATGACCTTACAAACTGTTTAAAAAAAATAAAATAAAATATAGCCTTTCAAGAAAGTTTTGTTTTCAAATGAGACTTGAGAAATATGCTGATCTAGACATCCTGCAGTCATGTAACAACATTGTGTATTCAGTTTTCTGGCTTTAAATTAAGAAAATGTGCTGCTTCTCAATTCCGGTCTTTTAAAAGTGTTTATATCTCAGAACCAGCTAGCCTGAAAAAATAGAAACAGAAATAGATTTGTATGTGCCGAGTGCTAATAAGCCATGCTACAAAGCATTTCTACTTTCAGCATATGATAGAAAGATGATTCATCTATCCATGGATGAATTTCAATTGAAAAGCACCTTTTTAAAGAGTAAATAGGAATTGGTTTCCTCCTGTTTTGGGAGCAATGATTTTATACATCAGAGGAGATCCTTTTGATCGTATCAATTTAATAGTGCCATTTTTAGCAAGTAAAAGAAGAAAGACAATTTTCAATAAATAACTCCCCCTTCCAGTTAATATCACTTTAAAAATTTATGCTGAAGGTAATGACAAGACAATCATTCTGATAGTTATTGAATGCATTCCTCACGACTAATGTTAGAAAATGATTTAGCCTTTTTGTCCAATTACTCAATGTGAAAAGGCCATGCTGAAGAGAAATAATTCTTCTTTCAAAAGACTTCTTGTATACTTAAAGTTTGCAAAACCTCTATGTTTGTTATGCCTAGACATCCATTTTCTTTTATAGCAAATACACATTTAGGCTTCAAGAATAATAAGAATCTGGGCAAGTACTTAATTGCTAATGATAAAATAAATGCTTCTCGATTCTTCATTGGCTGATGCCAGATATTTTTCAGAATATTAAGTTCCCTTAGAAGATATTCATCCAAATTGAAAGGTAAAATAAGGGCTGGATGCAATTGTGCTATTAAAACATATTAAATTTTTTAAGTCTCTACTTACCGTGGCTATACTTATTCAAAGTGTATGATATAATAAGGAACATGCTTTTTATTAATTTTTTTATTTCAAAAATTTGGAAGTGTCAAAAATTTGCTGAGTGAAGTGTGAGGAATAGATGCAGTCAGTGAAATCAAAGCAAAAGAAACACCACCACCAGAAAACATCTAAACTGGTTTCTCACCAACCAAGATTTAGGGTGGCATCGTGTATATAGGCATTAATTGTGCTCCATTATTTTCAATGACTGATTTTTTTTCTTTCTTTTGAGGTGGGGAGGATATTCAGAACTTTTTTCCATGGTACTTCTGAGATTTGAACTTCCAACCTTTCAGTTAGCAACAGACTAGATTAACCTTTTGCATCACCCATGACTCCAGTTTTTACTCTATGATATTTTTCCTAGTGTCTCTTGTATTTACAATAATTCCTGATTCTTCAGAAGATTAATTCTTTCTTCCAAAAATGTAGATTTATCACAGGCAACCTACTAAAGTTGGTAATTTTTTAACCTCTTTCCTATGATTAATATATTTTTTTTTGTTCTCAAAGTACAATACTTAATGTTTGTGTGATGTATCTTCAGAACTAATGGGAGAAGTACGTGTTTCATTTGTCCTTATGTCTCATAAAACACAAAATATCCTAGGCTCAGTCATATTGCAGAACATGTCAACTTTTCAACAGCATTCACTAAGGAAGCACTCAGAGATGCTACCTTTTAATGTTTAGCTTTAAAGACATAATCTACTTGAAATTCTGGGAAAGATACTTAGGGAGTCATAACCAACTTTCCCTTTTTTTGTGATGGGAATAAAATTACTCAAAATGACAATTCTTAATTTGTTTTCCAATTTAAAAACAGATTAGCACTTGAAGGAAGATGAAAACATCAATAGGAAAACATCACTCTAAGAACATTAGAGCCTAATTTATTAACAGTATAATTTAGTGGGGAAAATATCATTTTGGTATTCAGGAGATTGTGGTTTCCTTTTCTGAATATACTCTTTCCTTCTAGCATTTTCTGTAAACTTTATCACTATACCTCAGGTTCTTTCATCTCTAAATTGAGGATGTTTCCAATATGGGAGTGTAATAATGTTTTTAATGAAGACATTGTGAACAAAACTTCTAAAGGGATTGTGAACTCTTCAGAAGCTAGGCAGGTATAATTTTCTGATTTTGAAATTTATAAAATCATCTATCAAATTCCTCTATGTTATGCTCTGCTGAAACATCTACTAAGAGTATGTATATATGTATGTATATGATTAGGCATTAAATGTACCATAACAAACTAGAACAAGAGGTACATTGCAAAGTGGACTAAGAAGGGAGGAAGATACACAGCAATGAATAAATGAAAACCCAAGCTTTCTGTAAAGCTTAATTAAAATAAAAATATTAAAATATCAATCAGAGAACATTATGCTTAGTGAACTAACTCAATCTCATAAGACCATTTTTGTAAAAATAGAAGGATAACTGTTATTATGAGCCATTGAGTCACTTGCGACTCATAGTGACCCTATGTACAGCAGTCCTGAAACCTGCTCTATCCTGTGCCAAATTTACCCTCTCTGACACACCTACCCTCATTACCCCAGTCACTGTAATCAATCCATCTCATTGATTGATGGTCTCACTCTCTTCCTCCATCCCTCCACCCTTCCAAGCATGATGTCTCTCTCCAAGGACTTGGTAACTCCCTTCAACGTGCCCAAAGTATATCAGATGAAGTTTCTGAATCCTTGTCTCCAAGGAGCAGGCTGGCTTCACCCTCTGTAGGACAAAATTTTTGTTCTTCTGGAAGTCCATGGTATATTCAAAACTCTTCTCCAGTACCACAGCTTAAAGGCATCAATTCTCTTCCTCTCATTCCTAGTCATTGTCCAGCTCTCTGATGCTTATCAAGCAATTGCAAAGACTAGTGCCTGAATCAGGCACACATCAGTCCCCAGCCTTACGTCGTTGCTCTTCAGGTCCCTGTCAGCGAACTTTCCCAATGTAATTCTTCCCTTGATTACCTGGTTGCTGGTACCAAGAGTGTTGATTGTGGAGCCAAGCAAACTAAAGTTGTTAGCAATCTCAGTCTCTTCTCCATCTATCATGATGCTGCCAATTGGCCAGTGGTGAGAATCTTGGTTTTCTTGATGTTGATCCATATTGAAGCCTGCATTCCTTGATCTTCTGTAGCAAGCACTTCAGGTACTCCTCAGTTTCAGCAAGCATGGTTGTATCATCTACATAATGTAGGTTGTTGATGAGTCTACCTCCAATCCTGTTACTACATTCCTCCTCGTACAGTCCAGCCTCCTGGATGATCTCTTCTGCATATAGATTGAAAAGATATGGAGACAGAATACATCCTTGGTGGACACCCTTCCCAATTTTAAACTATACTGTGTCTCCTTGTTCTGTTTTGACAACTGCCAACTGGTCCAAGTATGTTGTTGTTGTTGTTGTTGTTATGTGCCACCAAATCATAGATGACTCATAGTGACCCTATGAATGATAGACCTGAACACTTGTATAACTTTGGTTGTTTCTCCATGTTCATAGAGTCTCCAGAAGCAAGCTGTTTTGGAAGTGGATTACTCGTGCTTCCAAGCTTGTTTTAATTGGGAAGCTCCACCAAACACTATCCACCATGGGTAACCATTATCGCATTTGACACACCAGTGTCACAGTGTTTAGCATCACAGCAACCACAAATTACCTCTGTACAGCAAATGGACAGACCAGTGCTACACCACTTAGAAGAATGTTTGACAGAAAAACCCAATTTAAACCAGGCCTGAGGGCCGCAGATTAAAATCACCCTCCTTGGGTCCAAGTATAGGTTTTACATAAGCACCATCAAATATTCTGGGATTCCCATTCTTCTCAGAGTCAGCCACAGTTTGTTGTGATCAACACAGTCAAACACCTTTTCATAGTCCATGAATCACAGATAAACATTCCTCTGGTACTCTCTGCTTTCAGCCAAGATCCATCTAACATTAGCTATAATATCTCTAGTACTACATACAGCCTCTTATAAACCTATCTTACATATCTGACAGTTCTCTGTTGATGTGTTGCTCCAGTTGTTTTTGGATAATTTTTAGCAGAATCTTGCTTGTATGTGATATTAATGATATTGTTCAATAATTTCCACACTCTTTAAGGTCACTTTTCTTTGGAATGGCAACAATTATAGATCTCTACCAGTCAGTTGGCTAGTGATTTTTCCTCCAGATTTCGTGGCATAACTTAGTGAGCACATCCAGGACAGCATATGTTCCTTGAAATATGTCAGTTGATATGTCATCAATTTCTGGAGCCTTGTTTTTTGCCAATTCTTTCAGAGCAGCTTGAATTTCTTCCTTCATCACCACAGGCTCTTGCTCATACATTGTTTCATGAAATTCTTCTGTGTCAGCCAATTCCTTCTGGTACAGTGACTCTGTATACTACTCCCATCTTCTTTTAATGTTTTTTAGATCATTTAATATTCTTCCCAAAGCATCCCTAAGTATTGCCACTCGTGGCTTGAAATTAATTTTCAATTCCTTCAGTTTAACAAACGCTGAGCGAGATTGGCCCTTTTGATTTTCTGACTCCAGCTTTTCGCACATTTCATTATAATATTCCTGAGCTGCCCTTTGAAATCTTCTGTTCAGCTCCTTAGTTTCTTGATTTCTTCTCTTTGCTTTGGCTTCTTAGTGCTCTGGTACAGTATTCAGAGTCTCATCTTGTATTCGTCTTTGTCTTTTCTTTCTCCCATGCCTTTGTAATGACCTTTTGCATTCTTCAAGATAATATTCTTAATATTCTCCCACAGCTCATTTGGTCTTTGCTCATTGGTGTTCAGGGCCTCAGATCTGTCCCTGAGATGGTTCTGAAATTTAAGTGGGATATACAGAAGGTCAGATTTTGGTTCCTGTGGATTTGATTTCACTTTCTTCAACTTCAGCTTGAACTTGCATATGAGTATTTGGTGGTCTCTTCTACAATCAGCACCCGACCTAGTTTTCACAGCTGATATTGAGCTTCTCCAGTGATTCTTTCCACAGATGTAATCTATTTGATTCCTATGCATACCATCAGGTGAAATCCATGGTTATAGCCTGCTAGTAAAACATTTATGGGAATTTGAGGGCATAAAGGATAGGAGTGAAGAGATGAGGATAGGTAAAGGTGAAACCACAAGTTTGCACCATTTGGTGGGTGGAGGGGAGAGAGGAAATGGGAAGGATCTGGGATAGAGTAAGTCCAATGGTGATTAATTTTATAAAATATGGTGCATGAGAATGATTGTATGAAACACAATGTGAATGAATAATAGTATTAAATACAGTGTATACAAACTTTGTAAACAAACCAATTTTTAAAAAGACATAAAAAAGAATAAAGCTGGTAAAAAAAATCTGCATTTTCTGTAAAAAAAAGAAATTTAAATCAGGTAGATTCTGAAGATTTCTTAATAGCAGTGATGCTCTCCAGTAAGGGCATAATCCATGTGTGTGTGTGTGTGTGTGTGTGTGTGTGTATGTGAGTTCCGTTTTTAGAAGTTGTGTTTTGAAAGTATTTTCCAAATTTCAGGTGTAACCTTCCTCCAACAACAGGAGATACCAGTAAAGATGTTGGGAGTAAAACAAATCTCGTGACTGTGAATCCAAGTATTATAGCAATAAAGTAAGTATCTGCAAGTTGCATAGCTACCCAAGAACATTTTCTTTATTAAATTAGTTAAACATGAAGAATGGGAGGGTGGAGGAACAGCGCAAGAGGGGAAGACCCTCTTTGAGATGGATTGATTCGGTGACTGGGGTAATCGGGATGGGCGTGTCAGAGGCAGTGCGGTTGGCGCAGGATAGAGCAGGGTTTAGGGCTGTTGTGCATAGGGTTGCTATGAGTTGCAAACGACTGGACGGCACATAACAACAACAACAACAACATGAAGAATAGATACAGTTAGTGGAAACAAAGCAAAACAAACAAAATATTTCCTAAGGAACTCCACTGGCACAGTAGTTAAGTGCTTGGCGGCTAACCAAAAGACTGGCTGTTTGAACTCACCCAACCACTTCTTAGGATTCAGCCTGCCAGCCTATTCTGGTTACAGCCCAGGTTACAACTGAGACAACCTCATCAGACACTTCTGCTCTCACCTCACATGGGTTTTTCACTCAGCAGCCATTGTAACATGGATCTTAGCCTGACCACTAACTTATAGCTGAGACTGCCAGTGCAACTGGATGAATTTGGGGGGGGGGGAATAGATTAAGGATATGTTTGGAATTCTTTACATTCTATCAAGATTATGGATCACAACAGGTATGAATCAGTGGTACTTCTATTGCCTAACTTAAATGTTGCTAAAATAGTGAGAATTTGTGTCTTCATTTTCTAAAGTAATAATAGAGTGGTTGTTGTTTTCCTTCTGGAGTTCTAACATTACTCTTTAGTTAGCATTTGCTTGAAAAAAGTTCATTACATTAAGAGACATCAGAGAATAATCCTAGAAAGAACTGACAAAATACAGTTTTCTCTTTATGTAGTTGATTAATAAAAGTTAATGTGTTTTATTTCCTAATGTAACTGTTACTATATATATGTGTGTATATGTATATATGTGTGTATATGTGTGTATATGTATATATGTGTGTGTGTATGTATCTATGTGTGTGTGTATATATAATAGATAATAGTTCAGTGTAACTGCTAAAAAAGTTGTTTCTTTTTACAAGCCCCATATATTACTTTACCCCATTGATGTTACCTAAAAATGACACATCATTGTTAGTAGAATGTTGTTGTTGTTGTTGATTGCCTTTGAGTCGAGCATGACTCATAGCGACCCTATGAACAAAAGACCTGAAGAAGCCTTTCTATAATTCGACATTTACAAAAGTTCATAGAGTTTCCGGAGGCATGTTGTTTATGAGGTAGACGCCACTCCCTTCAAATAATTCTAATATTTCTTGAGATAAAATGAATGTATTTATACCTGCCTCCCCAAAGATTACTTTTTATATACACATATGCTCATGCAGACTAGGGCATTTACTAATATATAAATTAAATCCTATATCTCAGGATGGCAAAACACATGAAGGAAATGGAACTCTAGTGTCCTGGTGGTAAGGAATGGTGCTGCCAGTCTAAAAGCAGGCAATTCAAATCCACCAGCTTCTGATGAGAAAAGACACACAATTTCCTCTTTTGTGATTTTTATCCTCTGAAAACCTGCTGGAGGGTCAGCTGTGAGCCAATTCCAATGTGATGGCACATTAACAACCTACATTTATAGGTAGATTAGGTTGTCTAAAGAAATTATTTTACAAGAACATGGATTAAAGGTGCAAAAATCACAATTCCATTAGTTTTAAAAATGTACAGTATATCTTTCAGGGAGCTCTGGTGGCCTAGTGTAAGAATTTGTGCTGCAATCCCAAAGGCACACAGCTCGAATCTACTGGCTCTTCTGCAGGAGAAGGATGGACAGTCTCCTCCTATGTGATTGGCTGCATTTGAAAATTCACTGCAGGGTCAGCTATGCTTGGGTTCTGACTCGATGGCATGCAACATCAACAATCTGTCTTTTAAGAATGTAGTGCTTGGAAAACTCATTATTAATTTGAAGACTTTTCCAGCATTTCAAAAAGCAATTTTATGAAAGATTACTGATTGAAGATAAAATAGTGGCTATTTTGAAGTAAAATAAGGATATCTCACCTATTGTTGTTGAGCAGATTCCAACTCACAGGGCCCATCATCAGATTTCCAAGACTAAGTCCTAATGGGAGGACGCCGTCCTTGGTTTGGCAGAACCATGGTGGTTAATTTAAACTGCTGGAAATGCTTGGCCTTTTCCTTAGCAACTCAACATGCTATGGACTACACTGTCAGAACTCCAATGAGGATATATCCTGGTACCAAGGCAGATATTAAAAGCCTCTCTCCAATTAGAGCGGTGAATGTGTAGGTGAATGTGTATCTCATGATATTTAGATTATTCTTACTTTAATGAGTTTTCTATGAATCCACAGTCTCTGTCTTAAATGGCCAGTAATGTAAGCAGTTCCATTTTTTAGCCTTTGGTAAATCCAACTTCATGCTACTAAAACTGCTGTTTTTTTATTATTTTTGTTATTGTAGTCATTCTTTTTAAATTGGCAGGTATGGGAACTTAAAGGAAAAGAAAGCAGTATTTCTGGAGGATGTTGCAACCTATGGTGATGCATTCCTTCTTCTGCCAGCATTTTCCTTCAGGGCCAACACTGGTGCCTCTTTTAAAGTGTACTACACACTGGAAAAGTCTAATGCAAGACAGAAGGTTATATTTTTCCATCCCAAGTATCTGAAAGACCTTGCCCTTTTCTGGAGAACTAAAGGTGTGACAGCATTCCGGTTGTCCTCGGGTTTGATGATTGCAAGCGTGGCGGTAGAACTGTGTGAGAACGTGAAGCTGTATGGATTTTGGCCCTTCTCAAAAACTGTGGAAGACACACCTGTCAGCCATCACTACTATGACAACAAGCAGCCTAAAAGAGGATTCCATGAGATGCCCAAAGAATACAGCCAGATACTTCAACTTCACGTGAAAGGCATTCTCAAATTACAATTCAGCAAATGTGAAATAGCATAAACACACTGTCTTAACATTGGGGTTAGTTTGAATTTAAAGTGGTGAGTGATAAGTAGTGTTTTTCAGAACCAGAGGGGATGGTTCTAGAATCTAGCAGGAACAGCCCCAAACCTTGTTTTGATGAGCTAAGTTTGCAGCCTGAGCAAGCCATCTAATCGTTCTGATCTTCACTTTCCTTCCCTATGAAATGAGGACCACAATATCCAACTCACACAAGTGAAATACAATTGTCTGGGAAAACTCTTAGCACAGTATTTGGCGTGACGTAGACTCAGTGCTTATTTCCTTACTAATAGTTGTAACAGCCATTTCTGCTTTCACCAGAAGATGCTGCCTTAGGGATCCTTTCTGAAGAGAGGCTGGGCTGCCATGATTCATTCATTTCCTTCTCTGGCAGACTGCTGTCACCCTTAATAACCTTCCCATTTTTCTTTCTGCCTTAAAAGAGTGTGTACAAGACGATTATGTACATAATGACGACAACAAAAAAGCTTTGATTATTCAGGAATGAAATTCTTCATGTGCAACATGCTTGCTTTTGATTATTCTCATTTATGAGGTTAGATGCACTAATGTGTTATTTGGTTTAGGTTAGGCTCTTTGCCACTGTATTATACATGTTTTTTATCACTCTTTATAATTTTATACTAACCTACTGTCTCATTATGAAACTTCTTCCTCTTCCACTAACAAGAACCCACTTCAAGGGCATGTATAGTTAGAATACCCAGTCTTTCTTACATGCAACCTTGTCAATGGATTACTTCTTCTAATTATATTTTAAAAGTATACGTTGACTATTATTTCATGTCAGGCCTCAAACCAGGCCCTGTGAGTGGGACGTAATGATAACTGATTCCCAAGTCTAACAGGGGAAAAAAGGATGGTGTAGAGTCATGTATGATGTAAAATGATAGTATTATGATAACAAAAATTATAAATAACAAGTCAGGAGCAGCAGAGGGAGGGGAAACGAAATCTATTTCATGGGAGAAGAGACACCAAAGAGAAGAGGTGGTTTCTGAATTAAATTATGAAAATTAATAAGGTTTTGTCAGTGAAGATGAGGACATGATAATAGACTAGGATTCTTCCTCTCGATTCTGTTCCGTCATATAAGGATATTTGAAGGTAAAATGTGACCTTAATGCAAGGACTCGAGTGAGTGTGGATGAAGACTTGGCGCCACACTAAATAATAAGAATAATTCTCCTGAGAAAATTTACACTTACATAGAGAATAAGACCAGTGATTTAGATATTGACATCAAATAAAAGTTAAATAGATCATAGATATTGGATATTAGCATTTTCATAGTTCCCTTATGCTGATATATATATATATTTAATGTAGGTCGTCTCTGCATCTACTGAATACATTTCTTTCACTTAAATGAATAATCATGCGCATACTCTCCTGCTCATCGTTGTCCTATCATTGGATGAGTAGAAATAAGAGTAGAGCAGATTGAGTTGGCACATGGAGATCATTACAGATATCAGTTTTTAATTCTTACCTCAACCAAATTACTACAGTTTACTAAATGTCCACTGGTCAGCACACGCTGCTGCAAATTATTTGTTTTGAAACAGCACAACTTCAATTGCAGAGGACATTTGTGATCCTATTATTTTTAGCTCATATATTTCGGTTAGTTCTTTTACAGCAAATGAAATGTATTAATTCAATAAATTAATCAAAATGTATATATAAATATTTTCCAAATGGAAAATCTTCTTTTACTGTGTAAATTATATTTATTATATTTGTGTGTGTTTGTGAATGTATAGTGGGTTTTTGTTGCACCCAATGAGTTAAATTTGTTTTACTCTGTCAGCAATGTCTCAATCATGCTATTAGCAATGGATTATTAAACTAGATCAGCATTCCTTAGTGATTTGTAGTTAATAAAATGCTTTTCTCAAGATGTTTAATGGCAAATAGAAACTTTAACGTCTCTTTTTTATGATATTGGGAAAAAAGTTGAAGAAAATCAATAGGCTATATTTAAATAAATTATTTAATATGAAATATGGGGACTTTATGTTATTGTAATTAAAAGTAAATATAGTAAGAACATTTATGACTTGCTTAAATTTTTCCACATAATGTCTGTATTTATTTTATAGAATATTGTTTTGGAAACTTTTGAAAATTTCTCTACAATGTTAGCACAGAATTGGGCAGGTTTTTTGCTGATACTGATTTTCAAAAATATTACAAATGGTAAGAGACCAAAGAGTACTGTCCTAATGATCCCCAATTTTCAGTAAAAGTTTACTAGAAAAGAAATTAAAAATTGTGGGAGAGAATTGTAAACTTCTCCATTAAGATATCTAAAGTTTGATTCTTGCTTAAAATTTGTATTTTATTTTATGTTTTCATTTACATGAAATTTGAATATCAAATTGGTTTGTCATGCAATCATTCATAGATGTTTAGTTTTATGACCTTAATTGCAGTTAATTAATGTAATTTATTATTTATAGCATTTAATCAACCTCATATTGTATACTGGCTTTCCTTTCACCAGCATATCTATTTATTTTTACTCTACCCTCTCTTTTCTTCTCTGGTGTCTTTCAAGATTAAATCTATTACTTTATGTATTTTTATTTAGCTTATATCATAACTAATGCTCTCTGGTGGCTTAGTGGTGAGAAGTTGCAATGCCATCTCAAAGCAACTTTGTTGAAATTCTCTTGCTGCTCTTCAGGAGAAAGATAGGCATTTCTCTTCCTGTGTGATTTGTTGCCTAGAAAAAAACCAACCCTAGAGGATCACCTCAGAGTCAATTCTGACTCTACAGTACAAAACAACAACGTACCACAATTGTTTTTTCTAACTGACTAATTTCAAATCACAATTTTTCTAGTTTCATCCATGTTGTATAGAATTTTTTTATCCTTTTATAATGGTGCATAATATTCCATCATGTGACATCCTGTTTGTTTAGCTTTTTGTCAATAAATGATTACTTGGCTTGCTTCCAATTCTTTGTTATTGTAAATACTGCTGTACTAAACTTGGTATATGTATGTCAGTTTTTTCCCACAACTCTTTTTTTAATAAAATTTTTTATTTTAATTGTGATTTTATTGAAATTTTACAGAAAAGTTGGATTTTCGTTCGTTCATTGTTGCATATTTTCCCCCTCCCTCCCTCCCTTTCATGTCTCAAGGATATAATACCTCCTAGTGGGATTACTAGATCAAAGGGTTTTTTTCTCTTCCCAACTTTTAAGGGTAAGCCAAACTGCTTTAGACAGTGGCTAAATCATTTTACATTCCTACCAGCAAGGTATGAGCATTTGAATCTCTCCACATCCTTGTCAGCACTTGTTTATTATCTTATTGTGCATTGCTGTTATTTCCAGGTTGAAATGACATCCAGTGTTTTGATTTGCATCTCTTTAATAGCTCTGATGACCCTTGGAGAGGAACATCATCATGCTTGGAAATGTGGAAGGATAATGAAAAAGAGGAAGACACTAAACCAGGTGGATTGACACAATGATTTCAGCAATGGGCTCGAGCGTGTCAGAAGTTGTGAGAATGGCACAGGATAGGACAGAGTTCAGATCTGTTCTTCATAGGGTTACTCTGAATTGTACTCAGTGGCACCTACAATAACCATAGCTCTGAAGGCCTAGTGGCATGGAGTTGCCCTGCCAACCCCAAACAGGAAGTTCAAATCCCCCAGCTGCACCATAGGAGAAAGATGGGAAATCTCCTCTCATGTGGTTTATAACCTCTGAAAATTGGTTGCAGAGTCAACCAGTAATTGGTTTTGACTTGATAACATACAACAACAATAATTTTGAGCATCTCTTCGTGTATTTATGGTCATCTAAATACCTTTGATATTTGTCTATTTAGGTCCTCTGCCAATTTTGTCACTGAGTTACTAGGTTTTATTGTTGACATGTTGAAGTTTTTGGGTTTTTTTATATTTTAATTTATTTATTTTTCATTTCAATGAACATCTACAGAGATTTTGCAATTCCATTCATTCATTGTTGTACCCTTCTCCCCCCCACCCCACCTCACCCCCCCCCTTACTCCTCTCCTTGAAAAGCAAAAGAAAAACTCCCTCATTGGTACACAATCCCCCCGCACTAGAAATAAGTCCTTTTTCTGATGTGCCATTGCCAAATATTTTTACCAATCTGTAGGTTCTTTCTACTCTTTTTTTAAAAAAATTATGCTAGTTTATTTATAAAATTCTAATACATTGTTTTTCACTTTAAGAAAAGTATTTTCATGAACATAATAATATAATTGTTCTGAGATTCTGGTCATTTAATTTATGCTCTGTTAGTGACACATTGTCAGTTATATATGATAATCCTTTTAGGCATTTGGTTAGCGCTCCTAAATTTGCAGTATTTTTTCTTTTGGTGATCTTTATTGTTTTAGGTTTTATGCCTAGGTCTTTGATCCATCTTGAATGAATGTCTATATATGGTTTGCTACATGAGTCTTGTTTTAGTTTCCTTCAAATAGGTATCCAGTTTTAACAGCATCATTCGTTAAAGAGGCTGTGTTTTCCCCATTTGATATATTAATCTCTTTGTTAAAGATTAATTTTCTATAGGTGACTGAGTTTATTTCTGGGTTCACAATTCTGTTGTCAATCATTTTATTTATTCCTGTACCAATACAAAGCTGTTTTTACAACTGTGGCTGTGTAATAGTTTCTGATTTCAGGAATTTTAAAGTCTCCTACTTTGTTTTGCTTTTTCAATATCACTTTGCTTATCTTGTATCTCTTTCCATATGAAATGTTTTTCATCTTTTTGACAAATTATATGGAATATGGATCAGGATTACTTGGTATCTGTAGATGGCTTTTAGTAATAATTGATTTTTTTCTCCCTGTTAAGTCTTCCAGTCCATGAGTATAGTGGGATTTTTTCCATTTATGTAGATCTCTTTGAGTTTCTTGTAGTAGTATTTCCTAGCAATGTATGTATTTTGTATTTCTGGTTAAGTGTATTT